GGAGAGCCTATGGGTAATTTAAATCCAAAGCAAAACATGGGCTGCACGTTTCCCGAGTGATTTACAACTTATAATGGCATGAACAGTAGTTAGACCAGTTCAAAGGGCAATAAAGCATAATTATAAATGGATGTATAATGTTATGAACTTAGAGCTACTTAGGATAAACGATTGTAGTTTCATGTTACAATTTGAAGTTATTATAGAAAGGAAAAAAAAGGATTATTTTGATTTTTTGGGGTGGTTGCAAGGTCGGTTGAATTGGGCAATCCTGTTTTGATATAGGGTAGAGAAAATAACAGATAAACTGTAAAGTTTTAGTGAAAAGAAACATTTGAAATGTATTTAGGAGGTTTGAGCGATTACACAAAGGAAATTTAAGATTTTTGAAATGATAAAAAGTATTTTTAATTTTAACATGAAAATTACTTTGCACATGGACTATTCCAAACAAATACTCAGTATATTCATAGACAAATCTTTATTTTATTTTATCAAAAATACTTCACTAAGAAATATGACTTTTTGTATGTGAAAGATATACCCAATATATTGAGAGATATAAGTATTAAAGTTATAAAGACTTTAAATGAGTACAAAAGGTCACATGACTCAGTCAAATTGACCGACCCCATCCTGAGAGAGTTAAATCAGTCACAGATAACTCAAATATTATTTATTAAGAAGCAAACTATACGAAATATTGTAATACATTTTAAAATCATTGGCAATATATTTATTCGTTGTCAAAGGATAATATGTACAGTTATACTTCAATAAGTATAAATGAATATACTATACCCATTTTAGCTACAGTTTGGACAGTCATTTTCACTGTTAATCTAGAGAGCCGAGTATAACACAGTTTCTACAAATCAATAATTATTTGATGTACAGTTTAAATAACATGCTCAGACATACACGTTGACACTAGCAAGCACAATTCGCACTTGATAGACATTACACAAGCATCTATACCCATGAAAATATGATTTGGACTTTGGAAATTATAACATATGGCATAACTCACATTTTGCAGAGTGTGATATCACTCATTCTCTGAAGTACACATTTGTTCCAGCTTTTCACTGGGAAAAAAATTAAGCTAGAAAGTAATTTTCATCTATTAAACCAGAGATAATCAAGTACATATATGACAATCTTCCAGACAGTGATTGGTAGTATAAATGTTGGTAATTATGTTTCAAAATTTTGTTGTTCTCAGAAAATATGTAGTAGGTACTAATATACACTCTTTCTAAACTTTTCTTATTTTTTAATTTACAATAATTCTTTGAGGTAGTATTCAGATAGGTGACCTAGAATTTTGTCAGCCCAAGAGTGCAAGAACCATGATTTTAGAATGAGAATAACTTCACTGATTTTTGTCTCACTGAACAGATAACTATTGATGGGTATTCCCTGACAAATCTAAATGTCCGTTGGCTGCGAAGTATCATTGGTGTTGTGAATCAAGAACCAATACTTTTTGGATGTAGCATTGCTGAAAATATCAGATATGGTAGTGATGATACTACTTTCCAGGAGGTTATTGAAGCTGCAAAGATGGCAAATGCCCATGAATTCATTATCAATCTTCCAGAGGTAAAGATGCGAGTTATGTTACTGTTTATTGCATATTTAACACCTTCCATATCTGTGTAATTTTAGAATGAAACATATTGAAAATAAAATCAACAAGTCCTTGATTTCATTTTACATTTTGTGCTGTTAAAAGATAGTGGCTAAAATAATCTGCATCAGAAAATTACAAAATGTTAGAACAACTAATGGAATTCTCTTCTTTCCCTTTGGAATCTGAACTAGTATGTTTTTAACACAGTGTTTGATTATATGGTAAAAAAATGCTTAAAAGTTGTTATGCAAAAAAATAGTTTGAGATTATTTTGAAAAACTGAAATAATTGGAGTACTTTCAATGGACAATACTACTTGAGAACAAGTTTGGAGTGTTTTTTTTGTAATTTCAGTACTACTATGGTTCAAAACTGGATTAAGAGCAGTGTATATTAGAAAAACTTCAACTTGTTCTTTCTTTAGAAAACATTACCGATGTATGAATTTAATTATAAAAATGGATAAATTCCAATATGGTATCTTAACTATTCTCATTCAGTGCTGCCCTCTATATGCAAAATTTTTTGCATGTCATAAGCCTTGAAACTTCCACCTACACGACGTTCCATGTAGTTCACAGTGTATTTGCATGTAAATCATCATGCGACAACCAATAGGAGTGCTACATAACCTCCTAATGCATGTGACTCCCTCAATTCGATTCTACTTAAATATCACTTCTTGTTAGGCAGTTATTGAGTGCAGATGTTTTTAACATTGCATTGTTTTTCTTGTAATATTTTCTTTAACTTTGCAAAGTGGTACTTTAACAATTTTTTTTCAATTTTCTACAGTTTATTCACTGTAGTTGTTTTTTTTTACCAAGTCTGTTTAATTTCATTTCAGATTTCTTAAGTTTGTGTCATGACTTCCAAATTCTATTCCTACTGCTTTACAGGTCAAATTATCATTATTTTTTGCTCTTTTTATGTTTATTTTATTGATTCGTCTGTAACTTGGTAAGGAAGTTTACCTGCTGGGTACAGTCTGACACACCTTAGCCACTCTACACCATGGGGTACATCCATTTTAGCTTCCCACACGTTCCTGTCTGTAGATGGAGATCCTACATTCATTCCTACAAGGAAATGAGTTATTTGTGAGATTTGGGTTTGAACTTGCCCAGTTTTTCTCTTCTTCTTTGGATGTGCTCTTTCCAATTTCTGCCTATGTATGTGACACCTATTACCACACAGGCCAAAGAGTACACCTGATGTGGTCTCCTACGTGTGTTCCTCTTCCAACAGGGGTTCACACCTCATGGGTGTTCTTTGGATGCTTTTGAAGGATACTTATCTATATTCCTAGCACTGGTCCCTCCACCTAGACAATGTGGGATTCTAGCGATATGTGTGAGAAGAAGTAAGATACCATATCAGAAGTTATAATTTTCCAACACTGAAAATTTATTTCCAATAGATACTTATTTCTACGAACACTTCCCACCCTTTTTCTACATTTAAATCCAGTGCTTGTTTTCTGCTTAATCTCAAAGTGTTAGTTAGGTAGAGTCGAATAGAGGGAGTCACATGCATCAGAAGGCTGTGTTGCCCTCCTATTGGTGGAGGGTTGTTGCATGATGGTTTACATGCGAAGACACTGTGAACTACATGGATCGTGGGATAGGTGGGAGTTTCAAGGTTGTGGCATGCTAAAAAGTATTTGTGTATGGAGAGCAGCACTGAACCAGAATAGCTATATGTGTGAAAAGAGGTAATTTTCATTGTAGGAAAATTATAACTTTTTACTTACCATTACAAGAAATAAAAGTAAAATTGCTTATAATTGCAAAATTAAAAAAACATATAAATGTATAGGATGTATCTTTTTTTTTTTAATCTCAGGCATATGATACTTTAGTTGGAGATAGAGGAGCTCAGCTTTCAGGTGGTCAGAAGCAGAGAGTAGCCATTGCAAGAGCACTTGTTCGTGACCCTAAGATTTTACTACTAGATGAGGCTACATCTGCTTTGGATGCTGAGAGTGAAGCTACAGTACAGAGAGCTTTGGACAAGGTTAGTCAAACTAACAAGTATACATTTGGGATGTTTTATTTACTGTGCCTATCAATCAGTTGTTCTTAATATTTACATTAAGAGTGTTTTAATTGTTCAAAGACCAAGGTAAAAGTGAGTAGGTTTTGGGACACATAATCAAAATGTGTGTGTGTATATATACATATATATTAGGTCATCAAGAAATTAATGAAGCATTTTGAAAAACTTTCATTAACAACCCCCCAAAAAAGTACATCATATATAATAGTTAAATGAACCACCTAAATGTCACGTTAGTGTAGCGTATATTGTGTGTAAAATTTAGTATACTCTAATCCCTTATAGTGATGGCACACGATGAGACACACACTTGGCATGTAATGCTGTTTGAATGCAAGAAGGGAAACAACACCTCTGTAGCCACAAAGAATATCAAAGAAGTTTATGGAAATATTTTGAACATTCATAAGTGTCAACGATGGTTAAGCAAATCTCATTCAGATGACCTTAGCCTTAAAAACTGTGATGGCAGGGGCCAACATGTTGTAATTAATACTGATGCTCTGAAGACACTTGTTGAGTCTAACCCAAGACAACACACTCGTGAAATGGCCCTGAAATTACATGTCTCTCATGAAACAATATGTAAACATCTAAGGGATATGGGAAAACTCCATAAAGAATGTGTTTGGGTGCCTCACAAACTCTCTGATAATCATCATTTCCAAAGTGTGAACGTTGCTTTGTCTCTTCTGGCTTGTAATACACATGAATCATTTTTGGACAGAATTGTCACCGGTAATGAAAAATGGATTCTCTATGCGAATATTAAATGCCAAAAGCAATGGCTCAGTTCTAGACAAAAACCACTTCCGACCCCAAAACCTGGATCTTCAGAAAGTGATGCTTTACATTTGGTGGGACATCAAAGGAATAATTCATTTCGAACTCCTCCATCCACAGCGAACTGTCAATGCAGAGATCTATAGTCAGCAACTGGAACATTTAAATCAAGCCCTTCATCAGAAACATCATTCTCTCATCAATCGGAAAGGTGTTCTTCTCCACGACAATGCACGTCCACAAGTGGCACATTTGACATAACACAAGATTATGGAGTTTGGTTGGAAAGTTCACCCCCACCCACCATATTCTCCAGATATGGGACCATCAGATTACCATCTTTTTCGTTCGGCTGCAACACCATCTTAATGGGAAAACGTA